GTCACCTAGCCCTTGTTAACAGTTTGAGTAAAAAAGGGACCCTTTCGCCATGTTTTAAAAGCTGAGCCCTGTTAGTCTTGTTTGTCTCAATTCATAAAAACAAAAGGAAGCTGATCCTAGGAGGGAGGAGGTTTGTGGTCCATCCCAGTAACACCATAGGATCCCCACATCCTTGATCAGAGGCAGTAAACACACTGCTTGGGTGGTAAGTGCTTAGGAAGACAAGCCCTTTGCTCAGAGGGAGGTGGCACTTTTTCTGTTTCCAGCATTGAGGATGAAATCTTGTTTTGCTAGCTTTTAAACTCCTGTGCAGTGGCTCATTTCAGAGAGGAGGTGGCCATCGGAGCTGCCCTTTGAAAGGACTTTCATGGCGGGAGCAAGCGTGGTAAAGTCATTTAGTTATTCTTGAAATCGAGGTAGTAGGGGAAGAGGACATTTTCTAACTGTAAATCACTTCCTTGCCCTACATTCTTTGAAGCATTTTCTATAAATGACTTTACCAGTTTTAGGGGTCATGCCCGGGGTTAAGAGCCTGTTTGGTGTACATTTTGGTGATTAAAAAACAACACTTCATTGAACTAGTAGCATTTCTGTTCACACTGTGAACTGGGAAATAGCGGATTTTTTAAAAAATCTGAGTAAGGTTTTTTGCCTCTTGTCAATATTTGACAAAATGTATGTTTTTTATTTTATAGGAACTTAACACTTCTGAAACAACACACACATAGCAAAAAAACAAAAACAAAAAACTAGTTGAAATGTGATCATAACAAAGGAACAAATTATAAATAAAATGTAAGATAAATGTGAAGAATCGTATTGGATAGTCCTATGTTAACGAGTGATCATTATGTCAGGCATTGCTCTAAAAACTTTAACATGATTATCAAATTTAACCCTAAATGCCTCTATGAGGTAGAAATTACTCCCCTTGAGAAAAACGAGGCTCAGAGAAGCGGAGTGGGTTGTCTGAGGTCACACAGCAGGTGTGAGTACTGGCAGAACACACGCTTCTAATGCTTGTTGTTCCCCAGAGCTTGCTGTGGGGACCCTTGGATTTCGTAGTGTTCAAGCTGAGGCCAGAGGGTCATTTATGGTTTGGTCGTGTTCTTTACACTGATTTCACATAGAAATACAGTTGGTTTTTACTTCTGTAGAGTTGTCATGAAAACAAAATTAGTGAATACTGAACTGGTGCTCCTGGGGAAATAGAGTGTTGGGTGCCTGCAAGCCTCTGGTGGCAGAAGTCTTCTTCCATCAGTTAATAGCTATGTAACTTTGATTTGTGTGTTTTTGTTCTAGTGCATCTTATTTCCTTCTTTTCGTTCATTAACATTGCGCCCAGTAGCACAGGCCGAAGGGCGCTTATCGAACACGCTTAGTTTCTCCATAGGCTTTGTTGTGACTGAAAACATTAGGCCTAATTTGAACATGGCACTTGGGGGATGGGGATTTTTAACAGTGAGATCACCAAGAAAAAGCACAAAATGAGAAAAACACGACACTAAATAGACCTCAAAAATGAAAGTGATTGCAGTTGGCTAATTCAAATGTGTGTGTGTGTGTGTGTGTCCCCGAGTGTGTCCGAAGACAATTGCGAAAGTGCTGCTAGTTATTGATCTTCAGGCTTACCCATACATGTTTACACGCAGGCAGGCTCCCAGATGTGGCTGGCTGTGTTAAGTGAATACCTACCTATGCAAATGCTTCTTGGCTGTAGCAAAATGCCAAAGCTGACAAGAAAGTTGGGTTTAGAAACTAGTACCTTCAATGATCTAGATATAAATTACATGTAAATAAATTGGTATCATGCCATTTCCCATTCTCATGACTCTTTTGTCTAAAGGATTGCCAATATGTTAGTATGCAGGAGGCCTCTGCTTTTCTAAATGCATGGAGACAAGCAGATAATTTGCTGCTTTCGTATATTATTTATGAAGTTATATAGGAAACTAGCAATTTAGATTATTATAGGGAGATTATCTTTCCTGTCTCGCTCCTGTGATGTTTTTCCCTGTATATGTTGTGTCTCCACAACATGATGTTAATGTAGTGCGGGGTGGCAGGATCTGTCTTCTGTTGCCAAGAAAAGTGTTGTGTTTTTCTTGGTTTTCATTACAAGTCTGCAATTTTCATTGCTGACAGCCCAGTGCACATCCGGAGAAAGCAAATAAACAGCCCGGGGACTCTGGTGCCATGAAGTCTCATCGCAAACTAGAAACCCTTAGCCTTGAGTTGAGTTTGGGGACAGGGGTAGCCTGCTACCAAAGGCAGAGCCGCTGGCCAGGCGGTCCTGGAACTTCTAGAAATGGCGGTTCTTAAGTTTCACCGTAGAATGTTTGAAATGGTGTCATAAATGGAAGTTAATGTTACGGCAGTCAGTTTCTCTGTAATTCATTAACTCAAAACGTGTCTTCAGTAACGCCTATGAGTGTTAACTGGCTTGCCTTAGTTACGTGATTAACATTCTCTGAATTTAATACTGCTTTCTCCCACTGCCCAAAAGTAGAGTGTTTAGAAGAAATGGCATAAAGAAGCAATAACTATTAATTTATATGGAGAAGAAAATTTGAGTGTTCTCAGGCCCCTCAGAACAACCTATGAAATCAAACCAAGTAAAGCTCATGCAGCCTGAAAATAACCCTTAACACAGGGTACATAGCAGAGCTGGGAGTGATGGGCCTCAATGCTGAGACACTGCATTAGTTCCAGGGCCAGCCACTTGGCATCTGCCCCACTTTGCTTAGGCGTGTTTGGCCTCAGCAATAGCTTGATGTAAAACCAAGAAACATACTAGTGTTTGCTTTACATCTTTTTTGTTGTTGCCTGTTTCTATTTTTTTTAAATCATTTTATTAGGGGCTCATACAATTCTTATCACAATCCATACACACATCAATTGTGTAAAGC